CCCCCCCCCGCAAAAAAAAAAAAAAAGAGGAGGAGGAAGCTGAGGAGGAGAAAGAAATACCCTGGAGCTTGAGTTATAGATAGTTATAAGCCATCAGAAATGGGTCTTGGGGACTGAGCTGGGTCCTCTGGGAAAGCAGCAAGTACTCTTAACCACTGAGCCATCTTTCTGGCTCCCTGCTTATCAGTATTTCATTGTTTGAATTGACCATAATTGTTTGTTGGACATTTGGGTTGTTTTCAATATTTAGTTACAAATGTTCTTGTTATGAACTTTGTATATGTGAATGTAGTGTCCTGAAACTCACCCTGTAGAGTAGGCTGGTTTTGAACTCAGAAATCACCTGCCTCTGCCTCCTGAGTGTTGGGATTAAAGGTGTGCACTATCATACTTAGCTTTTTTTTTTTTTTTTTTTTTTTTTTTTTTTAAGAGTTGGTCCTTACTAAGTTGTTCTGGCTGACTTCAGACTCTTGAGCTCTTGCTTCACCTCAGCCTCCCAAGTATCAGAACTTGAGTTTCTGCAACTTTACCTCTAACTAAACCTTTGGGAGTGTCTGTCAAAATTAAAAAGGCCTGTAACTTGCCAACTCTCTGTGCTTTTTGTTTGTTTGTTTGTTTTTGTTTGTTTGTTTGTTTGAGACAGGGTTTCTCTGTGTAACTCTAGCTGTCCTGGAACTCACTATGTTGACCAGGCTGGCCTTAAACTCAGAGATCCACCTGCCTCTACCTCCGGAGTCCTGGGATTAAAGGCATGCACCACCACTGCCCTCCTCCAAGTCTTAATTGACTGATGAGCCTGTCTGCAGACAGGAAGCAGATCTGAGAAAACTGTTCCACCCCATGTGATTCAATGAGTGTGCTGTGCTTTGGGGAAGGAAGTAAATATTTGTGGCTGTGAAGACAGATAGTCGGTTACTGTTTCATTATTCATTCCCAGACATTCGCTGTCTTTCCTAAAAATGGATTACAATCCCTTCAATTGCCCTTTAATTTGGACAGCCTCTCTGAGGCAGCGCCCTTCCCTGTCCCAGTGAGGTGCAGGCCTGTTACAGTTTGAGCCTATGCAATGTGGGTGGAAGAGCAATGTACTAGTTGTGTCTGCCTTTCCGTTCTGTCCTCTGTCATGAGAGAAGGGCTCTAGCAGGCCCAAGCAT